ATGTTTGATCTTTATACCCTTATACTTAGATTAAAACTAAATACTTTAACTCCATTCACGGGGCAGTAAGCTGGAATTGGGTTAGTCACAGAACAAGAGCTGGGGAAAGCACAGTTTGAATCTCGTCAACCTGAAGTTTGAAGTTTGGCAAATCATTTCCTTTCACCTCTTTTCCTCTTCCTACTCCCCGCTTTGCCATTAGTTTGGCATTTCTGGAAGGCAGCACTGTCTCTTTTTACCTCTCCAGCACAAAAGCACAGCTGTGCTCCAAACACACGGAGACCTTGAGGCACGTCCAAAATGCAACATGGAAAAATCCATTGTGCACTTGACACTCAGGCATATTCTGCCATCCTGTCTCACGCTTGCATGGTGCATTACGCCGTGAGAAATCCTGTTGAAAACCACAGGACTATTCGCAGAACAGGGCACCATTCAGAATGAACGAACATGGCAGAATTCCTCCAATTATTTACTTTTCATCAACACCTGAGAGTCTACAAGAAACAGAAAGTCCTCTGACATGTGCACCCCGCATATGAATACACACAGGGAGGGCGCACACACTCTACCATGAAAAACCAGACCATTTTTGCCCTCACGGTACCCATAAGGATGCATTCATTCCCCGTTCCCCTTCTATCCTGACACAAAATGGAACATATTGACATCAGGTAAATTCTCTCCCAACCACAGAATCCCAGTGCTGCACCAGTTCAGTCTGCAGCAAAGCTTTTGGCTTGTACTTGACTTTCATGCTTGATTGTATGGAGCCAGCCTACCCCCAGGGGGAGGTGGAGGTAGAGGTGAGAGCAGCAGCAGTAATAAGAGGGATAGTTCATGACTCCCAAATACATTTTTAGCAAAGCTGACATGAGCAACGGCTATACAGAGCCTCTACTGCCAGAGGAGGCTGAGTCAGACCTAGTTTGTGACCACAGATCTAAATCAGAATTGTCCCAGGAATTAGTTCTTTAAGTTTTATCCAGACAAACTACAGTATTGATGGCTTTCCTCAGCCATAGTTGAGAGAATACCCAAACCAAGCTCTCTCCTGTCAAGCTTTAAGGAAAAAAGGAAATTCTCAATGCTTGGGCTACACTGGCTACGTGTTTGCTCAGAAGCCCTCCTAGGCATCACCCAAAAAAAAAAGGGTAGCAAAAAGCCTCCGGTGTCTAGGGGTTTGGTTTGGTGGTGGTTTTTTGGTTTGTTTTTGTTTGTTTGGTTGTTTTTTTTAAATAGAACAAAGCATGCTGAGTAACCTGGCAGGTTCAGCAATGTGAAGAAGCAGATTCTCTCACCTAAGCAATCAAAATGCTGGTGATTCTTTCTCTCATATGGAGAATAACTGGTCTGCTTAGGAGATACTATCACAACCAGCAACAGTCGCAATGGGTGGGAGTAGAACAATTCTTGAGTAGATCTCCAGTCTGGAAATTTATTTACCTGTTAATGCTCATGAAGTGAAGTAAAAACACCCCTCTTGTCATTACTGGGATCATCTCCTTTTCTTTTGTCACACACAAGTGAGGTTAAGACCCAGTTCTGTAATACTGCAGGGCCCTCAGCTCAAACCTGACACCTTCCACAGCTACGCCAAAGTAAGGTTTTGGTGAAATTGGGGCGGCATGAAGAATGACCACAGAAGCCAGTTCTTTCCCTGAACCACCCTGAGAGGTGATCCCCAACTCGTTTGTGTAGCTTGGTGATGGAGGTCTTCGTACAGTGATGGGGAATTCAGCCACATGCATCTGGCCTCAATAACCTCAAAAGGAAGGCAGATGGGGCATTACCTTCACATGTAGCGTAGAATTGAAATTTCAGCTTTGAAGCAGCTAGCAAGATCCTGGCTGAAGATGACAATTACCCACGTGAGAGCATGGACACACTAAGATCAAGAGAATACAAGAAGAAGTTGAAGTGAGGAACTGTACTATAAAGAGTTTCACTTCACCAGACAGCTGGGAAGAACTGAAACAGCGCAAGGCGTTCTCCCCTCTCACAAATGCACGCTGTGTGGGAAAAGCAGGCAGGGTGTACACCTAACTTCAGCGACTGTGAGGGCAAAACAACTCATCTGGTACAGTGATAACATCAACGAGGGCTATCCTATGGAAGAGGAATGTGTAGTATGATAAAGCTTATTGCACTGATTGACCTTTGTTGCTGAAGACATGCAAGTTTCACAAAAAGAGTCTTTGCCTGATTTTTCTTATTGCTTTCTGATGATCAAAACTCATCATGCAACAACAGCACATGATCTGTAAAAACACAAAGGTAACCCAGAACTCTCCCGAGCTCCAGACCAGGCCATAGGAAAGAAGAGGCATCTGTCTCTTGAACAGCACCAAACCATTGTGAATTCGCAAATCATCCCACTTGTCCGACCTCCAGGCTGTCCTGCCTGGTTTTGATTAGCTGCTTCTTCCCTTATTTTCACCATTAGTAACTATCTTACATCGAAAAACGTGACACAGGCGGCCATCACGTACACCTTTCGCTGTAGCCTAACAAATCTAACATATGGAAAAATTGCATGCCAAATTAATTTTATCCAGTATAAAACCAATGTAAGGCTTTATATACTACCAGGTTCTGCGCTGCTTACAGGCTATGGGCTTGTACTTGTCAAGGAAAAAACAAGAAGAATGATTTATCACTGTGTGACCCCAATCATCTGCTAGTATAATTCCACTTTAATCAATAGAGCTAAGTGAGCATGAAAACAGAGTAATGCAGGCATGCATCAGACCCATGTGTTTAAAGATCACCACCCTCACCCCCCGTGACTCTATTAAATGCACATGGAAGGGGGTTCCTTTGGAAACTTTCTGCTGCACCCGAGTTCATCTTTCATACGTTTATCCTTATGACATCTCCATGTATCATTTCAGTCTTCCAGGTAGGAAATTACAACAAAAAGAGCAAGGGTGCTTATCTCTCTCAGTCATATAGAAATCACCAGAAATTTTGTACCATTTTACAGGTATTTGCACACCTGAATGATTTAATCCAAATGACACAAGACTGTGGACAAGAATGTGGGCCTCCCAATTCCTACGCGTGGCCCTAGCCACAGGAATGGTCTTTTCTTACAGCTTACAGCAACTTGGTGGACTTGGTAGTGTTAGGTTAATGGTTGGACTCAATGACCTTAACGGTCTTTTCCAACCTAAATAATTCTATGACTCCATGAACTTGTAGTGTAACAGCTGATAACATATCAAGCAGCGAGCACGAGAACTCTGCCAGCAAAATTTCTGGAAATACCAAGCCATTCATCAATTCATATCGTAAGAGGTTTTGCCAAAGCATCAGCTCTCTGTGATACGTACACAACCACCTGCCCCTCCTGCAGATCCCAGCATGATTGATGCATTTGTGTTTTACAGTATGAAGTGAGAGAAGCTACCTATGAAAAATACGCCTGAAGGCAGAAGCAGTTTCCTTTTCAACACCGTTTGCTCGTAAACAAGAAATCTGCAGGGTCAGGCAAGGATTCATAATTCATATAGTTTATATCCATGTTACAATAACAAAACAACCAACCATGACTGACAACTGTTTTCTGTTCAAGGCTAAGAATCATCAGCAACAGCAGGTAGATACACTCTCAGTTGTTTTTTTGCTGTTCCCATGCTATTATCACTCGACCAGTATTAAAATAATTTTCCTGTCATGTACCCATTACTTATGAGCCATACTTACCTCAAAACTCTAAAAACAAAACCAAAAAAAGCAATACAGTTACAGGTCATATTCTTTACAAGAAAGATAGCAAGTCCTCTTTCATCATACTTAATGTCTAATAGATATTCCAGTCACCTTATATGCCCATGTAATTGAAAAACTAGGTAAAAACATTAGAAGTGACAGAAAAATGCCATACTAGCATGCTTTTTTTGCTTTCTTATTGTACAGAGTCCATGCCGAATAAAAGGGCATAGAAGTGGCTGAGAAAGCATTCTCATCACAGCTATATGTAAAACATCCTTGCAAGTTGCTGCCAAAATATTACAGCCCTGAAAGATTACATGCCATTCTGCAAATTAAAGGTATGCCTGTTGACATCCCAATATTATGATGGTAATTTCCAGGACTCTGATCCTGCACAGCTCTTTAACACATGCTTAACGTTTAGTGGGACTATTTATAAATGCGTAAGTTTTGCTGGACTGAGCAAGAGTACTTTTGCCTTTTCCATAATGGACCAACAGTTTGGAAATGCAATATAATGCCTTGATGCTCCCTTGCCTTGTTGCATTTTATACCTGGAGTATGAGTAGTTCTAACAATAATGCTTAGAATCACTATTTTATACCTACTCATCCCAGGGATAAAAGGGTTGAAGGCAAGGAAGAAAAATCACATCTCAGCTATATGACTTTCAGAGCTGGTGACAGGCAAGTTAATCAGCTTTGAACATTTACTGTAGCAGGCACACAGGTTCCTAAACTACTAGCTAAAATAGAGTACTAACATAAAGCTCTTAATTCTACCAGTCCTGAAGGTCAACAGGTTGAAAAACAGAATCCCCACCATCACAAAACAAGACAGACCCCATATTTCTCATTAGAATCATTTTATATAAAGTTCCATTGACCAGATCTGGCTGAGAAGCAGGAAAATGTGAACCAAGATCCCCATAATTTTTTCAATCAGTCTCAGCAATACAGTTTTTCTGTTTATTTCAGGCTTTACACAGTGCTGCTGGACTCTTCCCTAAACAAGCTTTTGGCTAACAGAGCCTTAAGCACAGATGGGTCTCTGACCTTATTTAGCAGGGATTCTCCTGAAGGCATTGCTGTCTGATTTTATAACATTTGATTCAAATGGCTCAGTGACTTGGCCAGGGCATGTAACCCACTTTTTTAATGCTTGGTTTGTTAGCAAAGCTCATGTTTATTAAGTACAAATAAATTTTGCTTAACATTGAACTAACCACTAATTATTTATCTTAAATGGCAATTAATTGTGAATAATAAAAAATTATCAATTACCGATTTCCTCTCTTGTTTCAGCTCCTGCACATAGCGTGTTAACTCTCCAGTGATAAGAGAGGTCATGTTCTCTGAAATGACCTCATGCTGTCCGGCATAGTCATTCATTTCATTTAAAGTGGCTAGGAAGGCTCTAGTTGATGTGTACCTGCAGAGGACAAAAACGCATTCTGCTTTTAGTCCCTTTCTTTTCAGAAAGACACGCTGCAAAGGGAGGTTGCATCCTTCTTAAGCATTTAGTATTGCTACATGAGACTGCATATGGATTAGCACAGAATCACTTGAAGGAATTTCTCAAAAATAAGTCTATCCCACACACTGACAGTTGTCTGATAAATTAATCTCGATTTAGACAGTTTGACAATGGCTCTTAAGATATCACAGTTTTGGAGTACCAGGTTTTTTATCAGCATAGCTCTGAGACTTCACGCTTCTAATCTCTATTCACCAAACATTTCTAGTTATACTCTTTCAAGTCCTACAGTTCACAGCACACAGAGTCATCAGTGTACTCTACCTGGCAAAATCCTGTCTAAGCAACCAACTTTTTGGCCCGCAGAGTGTAGAAAAGAAAATTTTTCATAGTGCAAACTGGATTTAAATCAGCTATAGTTTATAAAGTTTTCTTTATAGGTAGTGAGTTTACGAACCAGGTGTTGTCAACCCATATTTTTTAGTATCTTCCATCGCAAGGTTTATTTTTCATATAAAATAATCTCCTATACAACATTCCATGTACTATTAAAAGGAAGAAATGAACATCTGTGCACACGATTTCAAAACAGCAGATTATGTCACTAGCATATTCAGCACAGAGCCAACAGAGCTGCGTTTAAATACCCCAGCTGGCTGTGCTGGTCAGCTGGAAAACAGCAGCTTTGAAGCACTGCACTTGTACATACTAGAAAAAACTATTAATATTAAATGGCAGCAGTCTGCACTGATAACATCACCTAAAGGTGAAAAAGCAAAGCAAAGCGGGAGAAATTTAGAAGAAATAGAAGAAATAGAAGGAGAGTGGTACATGTAGGGATGAAAACAGCATCAGAGAAAAAAAAAAAAAACCACAACAGAAAAAAAAAAGTTAAAAAAGGACTAAAAACATAGTCCAATACAAGCAGCCACATTCGCAGTCAAGCTGTGGTGCCTTGAGAGAAATCCCAGTTGCAAAAGACAGGGGATCAAAGCCACAGAACTACAGACTGACAACAAGCTTGAAAACAGATAATTTTTAGACAGGCTGTCTCAAAGCAGTGTCCAAGGCACCCAAAGGTCGCACGACAAATCCCCAGACATTGTTTAGAGACATGAGGAAACTATGCTGAGGTGAACACTGTATCTCAAAGGGCAAAGGATATACAGGATTTTCTGTGCCACATCACATGAACCATTTAACTCCAATATCTTTTTCCAGCAATGAAAGATGTGTCAAAAACGGTTGTAGTAAACTCAAAATACCCATTTATGGTATAGCTACCCAAAGGCAGATTTATTCCTAATCCTGGGTACAGACCAAAACAACTGATGTGCTGGTAACATAAACTTCCTTGTGTAAATATCAGTATCTCAGGAAATAATGGCATAAACAACCGATTCCCAAACAATGTTACTAAAAATAAATTAAAAAGAAAATGAAAAGGCTGTTATCTCTGTTAATATAAGCCACTAGAGTAGCCCTATACAGCAGACTGGGGGTCTGACCCAAAAATCTAAATCAGTATAATCATACAATTGGATCCATATCCAAACTCATTTGAAATGTTTCAAATTTCAAGGTCAAGGGTTTGAGCCTGCTGCTGGGCTCTCCAGAGGCAGAGCAGGCTCCTGCAATACAAGGCTGCAGGGTCAGGCTCCACGATGCCTTCGTTCAAAGCTGATGCATTACAAAACACCGACATTAAGAAACTTCAGTCAGAGTGCTCTAAGGAAAAGGTTCTCACTCTGGATTATAGCCTGTCTGTTGGAAAGCTCCTCCGCTAACATGTTCTCATTAAAGAATATCTTTAATCTCATCAAGGGCAGGAACGTTTTTAATGACGTGGTTTATCACCACCTGAATCCATGTCTCAGTGCCACTCGGTGAAGGAGCTGTGCTTTGACGCTACAGTCGCTATCTGCGAGCACCACATTAGTACCGCGCCACCAGGGAGATACAGCCTGAATACGTGAATCAACAGCAGGCAGCTGAGGCCACGTAACATCCTTCAACCACAGCAAGTCATGCACCAATCCATCGCAGGATACTGGGAGTACAAGCTATATCCTTCACCTCACTCTTCAAGAACCACTGGATTCTCTGTGGTGCTATACCATTATCCCTTTAGTAAGTTACTAATCTGTGTTGTCAGTCCATTTGAGTAATTTAATACTCACGCAGACCGTTTAGGTTTCATGCTAAAATTTACAACTGTTTCTGTTGCTGCTGAAAGTAGTTAAGAATTTGGTCATTCACTCCAAATAGTCAGGATCATACAGCCTGGCTTAAAGTTTTTAAGGTACTGGGGGGCGGGGAGGGAAGGAACACAACACAAAAAAACCCCAAACCAGGCATCCAGAAACCGTAACACATAAAGGCAACCAAGTAGTTACAGACGAAATCCAAACTTTGAAAATCCACTCCTTGGTATCTACCACATAAGTTTGTTTCTGCATCTTTGATTTCCATACTCTTATACTTGACTTTGAAATCTTTGGTTTACCAGCCAAATCCTAGTTGGTAACCCAAACTTTTCCTCCTCCTCCAACAACGCATGGTCAGTCAGCAGTGGATCATGAACATACCTGTATTCCTCCTCTTCTTTGGAGTTCTTCTTGGGTTGGTATTTCTTTGAAAGATTCCTAAAATTAAAAATACATATAAATAAATTTAAAATCTCCTTCAAACTAACTGGATAATCTCTGCATGCACACACATTCTGTGGGGCTTCAGTTCTTATTTTCAGTGAGTAGACATCTTTTCAGAAGTATGATTGCAATTAGGCTGTGATTGCCTTGTAGTAGCGCTCAAAGAATGGGCTGCACAGTGCTTCAGTCTCTATAACCTCAATAAAGTAGCAGATTCTGAACCCAAGAAGTTAATAAATTTAGGTCACAAGGTCAATACACTTGAGTTCTGGTTCTGCTGATGCACAGGTCTCCTTCACCTGATCTAAAGGAGATACTTGTCCCTAGACACAGACATGCTTTACAAACTCCACCCAGTGGAAGGTGCTACCCAAAGGTCAGCCAGCTCATTTAAACATGATTTGTTGCAGATGACACTCATGGCCAGGCAAATTGGCCTGCCTTTAGCAGGATGCTTCCAAGGAAGAGAAAAATCTTCATAAAGCTGTGGGAAGCTGCACTGAGATGACAAAAGGGGGAGCATTTTATGATTATCATCTGATGCTGGGAGAAATGTAAAATTTGATTATCCCAATTAGCACAGATGCTTGCATCTCTCATTACCCCACATCCAACTAATGATTTAATTTTAAAATACCGATATGCTCTTCAAGTGATCTTATCTTGAATAAGAAATTTGAACATAACTCTGTTAGCACATTTGACAGTTAGTATATAGCTTGCTTTGCCCTGAAAGCACTGACTGCGAGCCCCCAGCCAGCAGCACATCAGGAGTTTAATGAACATGCTGTCCACCTGACACTGAACACACCTTGCTGACACTTAAAGCTCAACATTACAATGCATATTGCACTGTAGCACAATACACCACTGCACAGCTTTTAAAAAATGCAAACCAGAGAGCTGACAAATCTTACTTAGCAATTTAAAGATCTTTTCAGTGCTGCAGTACTGGATCTCCTCTATTCTAAACTCAGCCCTATTACTGCATGCCTGCCTGCATCCTCTGTTGCCCTACTGTGAAATGGAAACCATTTGTTTTAGCTTTACAAGGTTGTTTCAGTGATTAGGAATAACATACCAGTGGTATTGATGGAATCGTTGTCCAAAGGACTACCAAGCTGCATTGAGCTATCTGTACCAAACTCTTTGGAGGACTCACAGAACACATCCAGTTGAAAAGAAACTGCTTTTTCAGAGGTGTAACCCACCCCCTGTTGCATGCTGGTTTTACTGCTAACCAGGAGACAGCAGGGCCTCATCTCACATTTCTTACTCCTTTTGTTCTCATTAAGGAATTAAGAGGCATCTGCCCAAACAGAGTAGTAGCCAGAATCCTGGCAGATTTGCACAGACAAACATGTATTTTTCAAAATATAAGTATCCCTAGTGGAGGGGATCCAAATGAGCATCTCCTTTCCAGTCTCTGCCTTCTCTGAAAAGAGGATGCTCTGAAACAATGAACTTCTTTTCTAGTTCTGCGTAACAGCAGCTTCAACCAAAGAACACCAACATGGCAAGAATTCTGCAAACTGTTCTGCATGACTACAGTAAGCCTTACAGCACTCTGTATGCCATGGGAATGCCTCCCTCCACACACCTGCTTGAAAATATGCACACAGACTACACTAATAAGGCATTTTCACACGCACTCAAAACACACGTCTCCCTGCACTGTCATGATGCCCAATTAATGCTGACACACAGAGATACTGCCTTCTTGTGAATCTTTAAAGGTATAGAAATGCTACAGAGCTAGGGGAAAAAGAATCCAGACAGTAAAAAAAGATTCTGAAAGCATGTGACAAGGATTAGAACCTGGGTTAAAAAAATTTTTTTTTTTATGTAGTTTATAAACCACATAAAATACAGAGTCCATATACATGAGGTTTTTTTTATTTTTTCCTCTTTTTTTTAAATCAAAAACACATGTAGGGTTTTAAATCGGAATACACACAAAAACAAACAGAAGTGAAACTGACTCCAGAAGTGATACTGAATCCAGTAGGAGTCAATTATGACTCTCGTGCGTTGAGTTCAGCACGCAATCACAGTGTCATGACCAGAACACCATCGCTTCGCAGGTTCAAGCTCATGAAGCAATGACACCTTTCGGAGCGAACAGTGATTAAAGTGGGAACTAAAACATTAGAACAAGGATCAGCAGTGAAATACCAATTCTGGAAAGATTCTGTGCCAGCCTGTGCACCCATCTCCAATTCACATTTCTATTTGCCTTTCACACTGTATCATTTTTTCTGCCTTTCCAGCTTGTTTCTCTGCACCCTTCTTCCCACTTCTTTGACATCTTGCTCTTTCTCTCACATTTATCACCCATCAGAGGTTCCCGATTCTCAGATTATCCTGGTATCTCAAGCATTCTTTTCCCCAGTACAACTTCCTCAAGGCTCTTTATCCATTGTCACGTTAGGCAAGGCTTTTGACACGTTTTGATGCTCAGAGCGCGTGTGCTGTAAGGTATGTAGTGACTAAGGAAGGAGGATGACAAAACTCTGAGCGTAGCGTCCAGTACATCACATCGGACGGAAGTTCAACACAAAATGCAGGAACAAGTGAACCCTCTACCGTAGTTTCTGCATCTCCTCCTTCCCAGCCTAGTTTAATGACTCAACAATTATAAAGCAAACAATCATGTTACATCTGAACTGGGCTCTTGAACCAGGACTGGCTGTAAACGGCACGAGCAAGACTTGAATAGCGCAGGCACAGTGCAGAAGGTGTGTGACAATTGGGGAGTTTCTTCCACTGGTGTAACCAGATGAATTTGATACATCCTGCAAGTACGTAGATCTAACTTGACACTTGAAAAGCGAAGTATTAGATATATATCTGCAGAATTATAAAGAGGAAGGAAAGAAACATTTTTTTAAATAGAAGACAATTGAACTTGATGACCAGGCTGAGATGCAGATAGTCAGACAGGAAGAATAGCTAGCCAGGGAACCCAGAGATCAAGCAGAAAACACTAATTTCCCAAAAGAAAATAAAGTTCAGCAGCTTTACTTACACTGTAAATAAAACATTGAGTTAAATCCACAGAGTATCTTGTGTTAACTTGTTCCTTTTTAATACTATGTCTGCGTGTTATGACATGCAGTGATATGCTGCAGCCCTTTTACACCAAACGGATGTGATACAAGAAAGGTTTGCACCACCCTTGAGGAGAATTATTAAAAGCAGATAGTTTCTTTTTTAATGTGCAGCACTGTTTTATCTCAACATTTGACAAGTCTACATTTTGTTTTTTCTTTTATACCTCTAACTTCTTAGATAACTCCAAACAGCATTGTGTTTAAGAGATACTCAGGGATGAATGTATTTGTCCTCAAATCATACCCATGGGTGGGGAAGACAAATGCAGCTACACATGGGGAATTGACATACAGAGAGAATAAACAAATTGATTGAGTTTGGTTTGGAAGTCTAGGACAGAATAAAAAACTCACGATTCAGAGTTTCTAGATAGTCACAGGCAAAACTATCTCCCACTTCCCTTAAACATTTCATTTGTGTGTTTATTTTCATAATTATGCTCTTTACACCTGAAATTTGTCATCCTAAGAAATTCACTGAGTGTAGTGTGTGACTCTTCATCAGACAGGCCTGCTCACACAGATACTCTGCTGGGGTTTCCCGGTCCAGTCATACTCTCTTACAGCTCATTTTGCCTCTGTAATTCAATCCCTTCTCATCTCCATAGGATGTGAGCAATTTGTTCCTACACAAGTAATTTTCTATTTCCTGCTTGTATATAGCAGAAACCCTGGGGAATCCTTGTGGCATTCCCCTGAGAAAGCACATAACCATAAAGGCAGGGTTTTATTAACTACCAGCTCCTCATAAATAACAGGCTATTGTGCACTCAAATCCATTTTAACACAAGCATCAAAAATTCTGGGTGATTTTTTTTAATAGACATTGTGCTTTAGATACATATGTATCAACTAGAACCTCACATCTCAATCTCTATAAATACTGAGAAGATGGAAGAAGTTCTAATGTGTATCACAGTCATTAAAAAAAAAAAAAAAAGTATGGGTTTACTGGAGGGGTTAGGAAGGATTAGTCCTGCCCTCCCCTCCCCAGTTAGCCCCACCACCTCCAGTTTATCACCCTGGACACTAGTGGCTGCCTATTGCACTACAGCCTCTCTCCGCAGCAAACTGCCCGTGTGTTGTACTCCCTTATAAGCCCTGTTCTCTCTTTTTTTCTACTCTACTGGGAAAAGCAGGGCAAGAGCTACTCATTGTGGGAGGGTTCTTGGCACCCCTTCCCTCCTCCCCATTTACACTGGATCTGACCTCAGGGAATATGTTTTCTGGGTCAGGTTCACATACACTCATCTCTTTACCTACAACCTGACAGTTGAACCAGACATGTAGAACATATATAGCAGGAATTTCCAGTAATTTAGCTACTTGAGATAAATTCACAGGATCTCTGCTCTGCTCAGGAGACACATCACAAGAACAGTGGAAAGATTATAAAACTGTCAAAATTCAAGTCTCAGGCTGCAACCTGGCTAACTACACAGCTGACATTTCCAAGGGCTCAGACTGACTTTCTGACCTGTAGTTTCTCCAACACGCGTTCATAAAGAGCCTGTCTTATGAAAAGAAACCCTAAACTTCTCCCTACAACAAATGATCATTATTCTGCTGAACTCTAAATCCTTGAGCATTTACACGCAGCAGTCCTAATTTCATGGAAAACATTACAATGCTATTCTCAAATCCCAAGCCATTAATCATGCATAAATTGTGAGTAAGCCCTAGTATGCTACTCAGTCACCTAAGTAACCTTTCTTTTTGCAAAGCATATGATTTTTAGCAGAGATAATAAACCAGTATCTTGAATTAACTTTAGCTTTCCATTATCTAAATTAAAGCTATTCTCTAAAAGCCATTATTATAAGCCAAACAAATTATCACCACTGAAACAGAAAACTTACAGATGATTACAGGCTCTGAACAGATGCAACTCAAAGACCAGAATTCTGCATATCAACTTACCGAAGCTGCTTTGCATAGCTGAGTTCAATCTCTGTTCTTTCTTTTACAAACTTGATGTATTTTTCCAGAACATCAATACCCCACTGCGTGTGTTTTTCTAAGTTGTCAAACTGGTCCTGCAATAAATCAAAAAAATAGTTGTCTTGTTGAACATAAATAAAAAATAATTTCCAAAGTGCATATCACTGTAAAGAAAGTGCTATTAATATTTTCCATTACCACAGTCAGACATTTTTGTAGTGACACAGGTTTTTAAAATCAACGGAAGTCTGTCTTTCAACATGAGACAGAGCCAGTACCATTCTTCATTCCTCCTTTCTGAATCAGTTTCATTTCAGAAGTCCTGGCAATTCTACTGAATAGTTTTCTAATATAAAAACATAAATAGACAAAGGATAAGAAATGGGATACTCGTGCCAGTAGTTTATTTTACTCTGAAGAGTTAAGGGAAGTTCCATGAATTTAAAGTCTATTTCTAATCAGTAATTCTGATTTTAGTCTGAAAAATGTGGATTTATAGTCAAGCTTTGTCAGTGTTATGAATTAGGACAGCTGACGATATTTTTACAGAACAGAATTTACTTTGTCTATAGCCTGTTTTGTTCTAAAACAGAAGACATGCTAAGAAATTATGCCACCAAAATTGACATTAGCTATGTTTACAGTAAGCTTTCTTGTCTCCCTCCATTTATATACAGATGCTACTTTGTTCTTCAAATATTGTTGCCCTCAAAACACAGTCACACGTGTTTTCAATAAAATCTTCTTCAATCAAGAACATTCCACAAGTCAGTTTGGGATCTGCAAATGCCAAGAGAAATGAACTAACTCTAAATCCAAATTAATTATCCAAGCAAGCTTATTACTATCTGCAGATTTATCCTAAAATTACCTTATTTTTTAAAATGTGATTACTTTAACCACACGCAAATTCCATAACCATCCATTCCACACAGAATTTCAGAAGTTAATGTTTCTACAAGCCTTGAAAAATATTTTTTAAGTTGTGATACACTGAATACTAACCCTGACAGAGACACGGTATAAACAAGGTCTTCAGTATCAGCCTGACTTATTTGGCATCAGGTTCCATGATGTTTTACATGGAAAACACGGAGTACGTTTGCATGTCTGCAGTACAAAGGTTAGATTTACAGCCTTTTCCAAAATAGTGTACACAGTAACAGATTTGGATCAGACGCTCAGCTGCCACAATTAAAGCTTCTGACAGAAGTGATGCTTCCTTCTATCTGCCAAAGATTTGGTCTTGGCACTTTCAGTTTGTAGAGCTATCACCAAATGCTATCAAAGCGATACAAACCCACTTCCTTAGGTGCCCAGAGTAGAAAACTAGCAGAAAGCTACTACAAAGCCTTGTTTATGAATATGTAGCTTTTAAGCAAATAGCATTTTCTGCTGTGTAGCACATCTGTAAATTAACAGTAAGTTACATCAGTACCAGAAGAGATTCTTCCAGCATTGAAAAAACCAGTCACATACACAGAAGCTGCTACTTGCTAACAAAACTGCTTTAACTCTATTTTGAAGGGAAGAAATAGAAATCACGTTAGAGGAGGAAATCTGCAAAATCCTAGCAAGAAGCAGGTTAAAACAGCAGGCGATATGCATGGAATAGGACACACAAGGTTTGTGTATCTGCATATTTGCTCTGGTTTAGCACAAGGTACAACTCTAAACCAATTCAGCCAAACCAAACTAGGCTTCAGTTTAAATTATGTCGGTATTAGTCAACTAAAGAGGCACTGGGGGGAGAATAGCAAGAGGACAATAGCATAAAGTTACAAAAATAGTAAAGAACTTGTAATGCCCATGCTCCAGGAACTAAAAGAAAGTTATGGGAAATAAAAAAAGATTGAAAGTACACAGAATACCCTGACTTCCAGCAATATAAGTCACCCTTAAACCAACATAACATCATTCGCTCAAGAAAAGAGGATGTATGTATTTTGCAGAAAGGGAAGATGTGTACTAAACCAGTACCTATTTGCATACAGACGAATACTTATTTCAGGCAATATTACAGCTGGGGAGAATACAAAGATGACATGGGTACCATCACGGACCTCTCCTCCTCCCAGAGGGCTCAGACTGGGGAGGAACAAGGTGTGCTGCTGGGAGCACGATGGCAGCACAGGGAGGCACCCTCTGCTCTGCTTCAAACATACCACCTCTACATCTCGCAGGTTACGCTGGCGTCAGGAAACTAGCACGAACACCGCCCTGTTACGGCCCCGCTAAGGTTTCTGATAAAGAGGTCTTCCAGCTATCCCACACCCTATTCTTCCACCATTTACATTATTTACCATAAACACACGCATATAAATTGAACACCCCACGAGGCAGTCCATTACTCAAGTTTACATGCATTCACACACACTCCCAACTTTGAGAAGGGAAATCTCAGGGAGGGAAATCCACTCCCTAATTCCCTTAAGCAAATTAAACCACCCTCATCAGATATACCATGCTAATAGCAATAAACTAACTTAGAATCCTACTGTAACCCCATTCAAAGAGGAAAGGTCATGGTTTCCCACAGGAAAATATGCCTTTCAAGGAGATCCTACCCTTCGAGAGAATTCAGACTGCTGACTGCACAGAAAGATAGAGCAGGTTTGCCCTGGAAAGGCAATCTTGATGGTGGCTTGTCCAAAGCTTTTCCACCACCATCGCCACCACCCTGACTCAATTCTCAAAGCATCATTTAGATCAGAGTATGAATAAAAACCTGAAAACGGGTCCAGGTAGCTGCCTCAGTTTGGTCTGTTATCCCACAGATGGATCTGCCGGACTGTTTCAGCGGCCTCACTATGTCAAATCTGGCAAAAGAAAACTCCATGGTGTGCAGTGCAGAGGAGAACACACTGCAGCGCAGCTGTCAGACCAACTGTGTGAAGATGCTAACTTTCTATTTATAAAGGGAGCAGACGCACTTGACATGCACCGAGCTGTAACCAGAAGAACCTCAACTGGTTAAGCTACTGATCTCCTCTATCAAGAAGCAAGGCAAGGTGAAATTTAGCTTTCTGCAGACTTCGCTGAAGAGAAGAGGTTTTCTGGGCATGGAACAGTTTTGGCCCAAGTGCCATTTCACAGAGCAGCCAACGCCCCACAACAGTGTGTAACGCTGGGGTCACGTATACCATTATCTGTTCTCTTTCCTGTGTTCCTCAAGGACAAAGAAGTCAGTAAAATTGGTGACCCCATTACTTGCCGAGCATGAGATTCCAAAGGAAAGACAGTGCAGCCAGAGGAACCTAACACAGGTGTGTCCTCCTTGTTTCACAGATCTGCTTGGCAAGCTGAAGGTAGGCAAAGGCGTTGTGTTAAAGCTAACGAATCGTACGGATGACAGAGTACACAGAATGCTTTAGTCATAAAGCATAACCTTTAATTCATGGAATCCCAAAGGCCAGGGATATGTGCAATCAATGCAAAAATAGAACTTCTGAAAAGGAGATTTTTGAGAGTAGTTAACAATGTCATCCCTTCAAACAATCAGCATTTAATTAATTTATTACTTCCAAAGTTTGTTACAAAAATGCATTATCACATGGAATCTGAAAAGTTTAAAAAAAATCTCCACTACTCACTAGCCAATTTGGTCTAGGTTTATTAATCCTGAAATGAGATTTTCATCCTTCTCCATAATAGACTGCTTCCCATAAAAGACTTCCCACAAGTTCTTCAAAAGACTCCCAAACCCCAGTACCACATTTCATTTCAGTTTTCACTGAACTCCAGAATAATTTTATAGCTTAAAACAAGCTCTTCATAAAAATTAATCACAGCAAAAAAGATCTCATGAAGAGGGCAATGCCATCAGTCAATTAGCTAGTATTTTGGTTAACTTAAGCACTTGTAGCACGTGGCAGATGAAGTTTCTGATGTTCAAACACTACAGGTGTTTGAAACCACTGGAAGATAGCTTTCAAACCCAGAGATCAAGGCTTCGATGTTGCTTTGAAAGCCAGCAAGAAGTTAGTGGCTGAGGAAGCCTCTGCCTTACAAAAAGCAACAAGAGTGCAGCTTGTGAGGATTTATCTGTCTCTGCTCTGGAGGAACTTGGCTTTACAACCAGGAGCAATCTAATCAGAGCTGCAGATGGTTTCAGCACAAAGCTAGAGACTGGATCCATGTTTAGCAGGGTTTAACAGTTTAAGTATGCAGGTTCAGTCATCAGCTGGAAGTTGGCTCAGGTACCTCCCTAAGCTGCTCCTTCAGCTTTTGATTTCAATGTACAACTTCTCATCTGTTTTTGCAGCCTCTTCACCCTTCCAGTTAGGGATAACATTAGAAAACAATAAATTCCGCAGGGCATTAGAATTCTTCAAGAAAAGCAAGAGAACAAGACAAGAAACATAACACAGTGTTCAGTGTGAATGCTCCCACCAGACCACAGCGAGGGGGGGAAACAAGAGGTCACTTTGCACCTGTTTTCTCTGAAAAACAAACACCAAAACATTTTCTAGAAGCATTCACTACTTTCCTCTGACTCAGAGACTGGTTTACATAAGAACACCACTCCTTGAGCAAAAAAAAAACCGAAAAAACCCACCAACTCCTGCACTGACAATGAGTCGTGTATCTCAGCAGGCTCCCACCATAGCCTTCCACATTAGTGTCCATGCCCTTTACCCTTCCAACCTGACAAATCTCATCTCCCATTTTTAAGTCCCTATACTTACTCATTGTGATATCAGTAGCTTATTAAAAAGAGTAGACTTTTGACTGACAATCAAGATGTGCACATAGTTAAACTACTCATACAGCTGTAACTTCCTCTTCATCGGATTCCACCAGCTTCCCAATGACAGCAACACTTGCCAGTACAAACACTTCACGCCTTCCCCAAGCGACGGAGGAGTCAACACACGAGCTGACCTACCTAACTTTCACATGAGTGGGAAAGCAGAGCCTCTGCTGCAAGCTGATGGAAACAAACAGCATCTTCAGAGTTGTCCAGAGCTTAACACATTCTTGAGCATGCACATAAAAATTAAAGCTCAAAAGAGGAAAGAACTTCAGTCATTAACTTGGATGGGAATTGGACATCCAAGTATCCAGAATGCTTTGAAAATTTTATCCCTAAGGC